CAAACTCGACAGTGATTAGACAATATCATTCAATGTCTCAAGAAGCTTGCAGTCCTTACATTTTTCATAAATACAAGTTCTATTAAACATGATTTATTAAACAGTGAAAAATTTAAACAGCCTTATCCAGCAGTTCAACATAACGTATGACAAAAGGAAGCTGAAAAACTGCCATGAATTTCAGTAGATTTCATTTAAGTTCTATAAATAAAATTTTTCACTCAAAATTTTGGCTCAGAGTTTTCAAGAAAAAACTCAAAAAGTCTAATTTTCAGAAGTAAGAAATTTAAACATTGTTCTATCTGGGTTTTATATTCAGTGATTTTTTGTAAAAACAATGTTAAAACAAAAAATATATTAGTTTTATCAATTAGTTTTATGAATTTTGAAAATTTCAAACATTTTAATTTAAAAAGAAACTGAAAAAAAAAATCTGTTGTACAAATCAATACAAAGTTTGAACAACAGCGCAAAAAGACAAATTACTTCGAAATTGAAATAAAATTCTATTGGTTTGAGTGTTTTGCCTCTGTTTCTTCATACAACACGCTATGTTTTCTTTTTCATCGCAAATATTTCTTTGATCATTTCAACACGAATTGTTTTTTTTTGCGATAATGGGGAAAAAATTGTTGTTTGAATATGGATTTTGAACAATATGTCAATTTCATTGCCAAAATTTGTCAATTAAAAACTCCCAATTACTGTAATTGAAATGTTTTTTTTTTCGTATCCCACATTAGAACTTTCATCAAAAAAATTCTCTATTTTTTAATAAAAAATCCGTATTTCTCTCTGGAAGTGTTTCAGACTTTGTCAATTTTTTTCCAAATTTTCTGATTGTTTTAGTCTCGATTTCTCACAATTCCAAAAACTTTTTATTAAACTGCTCAACTGACCGGGAAAAATTGTTAATTTTGCAAACTTTTGCAGATTCGGTGCCAATTTTTAAATTTGGAACTTTTATCAGGAATAATTTACACAACGCTCTGAAGTTTTGCAGATATTAAAATTCTTCATATGATTTGTACTATTGATTTCTGTGTTGCATATATGATAAAGGTTTTGCTCTAATTTGTAATGAGCGTGAGAGCTGTCAAAGATATCGCTTATAAATACTGATGGACTTTTTCATTGTTAAGATCTTTGATTGGTTTGGCACAGCTTAATAGTCTGATGATCAGCGGTCTATAACATTTTCAAACAAATGCGCATGTATTTACGGCAAGTAGGAGGACGACAGCTGTTAACGCGACAATCATTTTTAGTGGGACTTTAAGGTGACGCCACACAAAAGTTTTCCATTTTTTCTGAGAAATAGTACTAGCTCAATTAACATGCTTTAACTCTCATTTGTCGTCCGAATGTTTTGTCGTCTGACTTACCTAGTACCGTCTTAATATGCTTTTCAGATTCAGTCCAAAGTTTTTTCAACTTCCATGAAAGCTCTCGTTTTTGACGCCAACCGATTATAAAATGATTCAAACTAGTATAACTTGATAACAAAATTTCAAAAATGACAAAAAAAAATTGAAGTTCTCAGAACTGAAATTATTTGAAACATGAAAAGCTCATCTGATTTTGGCGAATTCAAATTATCGCAGATGCTTTTGTCTCGTACCGCAGATGCTTTCGTCAGGTTTTGTTTTGGTGTAAGTTTTTTTGAATTTATTTTACTCGAACTCTCTTTTTTTCTTTTTCACTCTCAATCTCACAGTGTATATGTGTGTGTTTTGCCCTCCACTTTTATGAAAAAAACTTTTAAAAGTCAACAGCTGGTTAATTGCAGGACAAAAACTTTGGTTGACGTTTGAGTACTGCGTATTTTTTAGGAAGATGAATATGCTGGCCCACCTATTTGAAACCCCAAATTCTAAACTTGGGAGAATTAACGCGCGATATATTGCGTTCTTATGACATGCGTGAACGAAATGAATTGATTAAAGTCATTTAGTCTAAATAATAATATATGATATCTCAAATACATCCCTTTGAAGTTTATCTTAGCGTTCTGTTAGATACGATGAAGAAAAAGAAAAAAAATATTATTATAACGTAAATTTCCAATCACACATTTTTTAAATGGTCTTAAATTGCAATTGGAACATTCAGAGCTTCGCCCTGATTTACGAGCACTCTTGTTGTTCCAACTTTCGAAAAGTGAAAAAGTGTATATGCTCGGGGCGTTTTTTAAAGACAGACCAGTGTTTAAGTGAATTTTCTCTCCCTGGGAAATGATCCCTGGATCATCGTTGGCCCCGCCGAGTTCGCACACAACTATGATAAACTTAAACAAATCTAAGTAAACTGCTCGTTTTTTACTTTAAGGTTGAAAATTTAACGCGCATTATATACCAGTGGCAAATTAATTAGCACTACAAATTGTTTCAAATTGAATTGAAGCAAGCTAATTGTTCTTATTAACTCTATGCAAAACTCAAATTTTAATATTTTAATTTTAAAATTCTCAGGCTAAATTTGTTTGAACACTTCTTTAATGTTTCATGAATCAGAAACTATTGAAAATTGTTAAAAGATCACTTGGAAAATTCAAGGCGTCGCCGCTATACGACCAGTCTTGTTGTTCTGACATTTTTTGAAAAAAGTGACGGAATATTTATGGCCTAGTTTTTTCCTCAAAACATTCGACTTTTCAACATTTTGTTTTTGAGAATTTTTGAAGATTATCTTATGAGTGTTGTTGTCTGATTTCAAATTTAAAAAATTATTTCACACATCTGATTATTTTTTTAACTTATTGGTGTTTAAAAATATGGAGCGCATTTTAAGCAAATGAGGTTAACGGGCAATGCATTTCGCAATATAACCCCTGTTACGTTTAATCCGTATTAGAAATCATTCTAAAAAGATTTGAGGAATACTATTTGATCTATTTTATATTTTGCCAATGCGAATTATATCATTGTTCCGACTTTCGTAACAAAAGTAACGGAATATTTGTGCTCGTGGTGGTTTTTTTTCTTCAGACACAATCTGACTTGTTAACTAGCCATTTATGACAATTTTTTTTATCATTCTCAAGAATTTGTTGTCTTGACTTTAAATTTAAAAAAATACTTTACCTGTGATTTTTTTTTGTAAAGTTAAGGAGGTTATAAGATTGCCATTTTGGCCAATTTGGGACAATTAACGCGCTAAATATATTTAGCGCTATCAACGCAAAAGCGGAGATTAAATCCGTCTTATAAATTGTTCCAATTTGGTTCAAGGAAGATTGTTTGCCATAATTTATATGTTACTACAAGCAAATTTTATCACTTTGTATTTTATATGGCTCGTGGGGGATGATTTTTACAAAATATACCTCAAAATAGAAAAAAATTCATGCTATTACAGCTCAATAGACCTTAAAAGGCAGTCGGAACACTCAAAGTTTCACCCTGATACGAGCATTCTTGTTGTATTTTACATAGCGTGTGAGGGTGATTTTCGAAAAAAGCAAAAAAAATTAAATTAGAAAAAATTTAAAATTTAATCTATTGTTTTCAAAGCAAAAAGTATTCTGATCATTTTAAGTCAACCCATTAGTTTGAGATAATGAATTGCCGCCGTTAGAATGGAATATGCAAATGCAAATTCTGTACCTAATAACAAATGCCACCCTTTTTCAAAAAAAAAAGATAGAAAATAATTAGAGATATCATACAATTAAATTGATTCCAGAGAGTTTACAACGCAGTCGGAAAATTCAAGGCTCTGCCCTGATACGAGCAGTTTTGTTTCTTCTTATGATTGAATTTAATTTTCAGTAAGAGTGAAAGTAGTCAGTGTGATCCTTTTTAGATTTGTAGATCTCGGGTCTCGCGTTGTAAAAAGATAGTAATTTAATTTTCTCCTAAGGTCACTCATAGAACTAACCTTTCCAGCAAAAATTTGAAACATCTGAATGAAGTAATTGCTTGACTCAACTAAAAGCAATTGATTTAATGTGCAATATATGGTTTCGTATAGTCTGCTTATGAAAACGAAAAAATTATTATAAAGCATAAATTAAACTTTTACTGTAATGTTTCTCTTAATTTTTGATGGTCAAGTAAACCCCTAAATTGAAAGCACGGTCAAAAAAATTGTTTGAAAATTATCTTCACTGATCTAAGTTTTTATTTTTGTTTTATTGGTGTCGTGCCTGACTGAAATACTAGTAGTTTTTGTTTTATCAATTTTTTTTTTCTGTAATTGAACTGTTAAAAGCAACAAAACTCAAAACTGTGTTTTGACCATACGGAAATTTTTGTGAAATTACGACAGAAAGAACTTCAATATCACACAACAGCCGACCAGCTCTGACATTTATTTGTAATAGCTAATTTTGCCTAAGCACACTCGAACACCAAGCCCCTTTCAGTAGATAATACGACAACAAGATAGTCCAAAAGTTCCGATTTGAGTTGAACCGTTCGAATTATATCTGAGTTTGTTAGGTCAAAGTCGAGCAGTGCATATACAAAACCGTCCAAAAAATCATGAGACGAACAAAAAAACAGTCCGATACAAAACAATACGGTTTAAATTCGCCAGTGGGCGCGCTGGCGCCCATGTTGACGCTTCGCGACGATAACCGTCTCTAATTTTTCAATGGAGTCCAACCCTTTGTTGGCAAGTCGGGTCACTGCGGCGGTCTCTATTCGTTTGCTTTTGTTGTTTGAACAAAGGACAGTTCTCGGCTTACAATTAACTTCGTACTTTTTTTCGGACCGTTTTGTAACGGACTGTTTTTTTTTGTTAATTTTCATTCTTTTTCAGACTGTTTTGAGTTAGAATGTTTTTTATGCAAATTTTTCTTTTACTAGAAAAAACTAAAATGTACCTGATTGAGGCATTGAAAACACCACTTTTTGATCGAGAAAGTCGAATAATAAATCGAGTACCTCGACCCGGGAATGTTAAATCAGTTTTCACAATTGTAATTTCTCTAATCATGAATCTAATCTCACAATTTGCATTAAACTTAAATTAACACAATTGATCGAATTGTTAAGGGCAAAGTTTACTACAAAATGATAAAGTAAAATAGCTTTAAATACAGTGTACTGCAATAGGGAAAACTGGCTAATAATTTACTATTTAGGGTCTCTAATTAGCAGGGTGGTTTTAATTAGCAAGGCAGCGAAGTGGTAGGTGATAGGAGAAGATAAGTGGATGAATTAATCAGCTCTTGAGGGATCATAATTTGGAGGAACTCTTCTTTTTCTCGTCATCATCTCCGTCAGCCTGAAAAAAGTTAACATCAATCAATTTTGACTTTGATTATTTGAATCTGCTCCACCCTCTTTTATATGTGGATGGAAAGGTAGGGAGTTCTAGCATACCACAGTTGACGTAGGTGGGTCATCGCCCAACTTGGAGTCTCCTCCTATCGTTTCTGGGTTGGGCGTCGTGGGCTTCGAGGGTTCCAGGTCATCCGGGTTGTCAATGCCACTAACGGTCGGACTTGTATCAGCTGTTTCTGGGGCATCTTCGACTCCGATTTTGATCGAATCGTTTCCAGCATCCGCTGTATCATCGCCTGCGAGTGGGTCGTCTTTCGGGGGGTCGTCACCTCCGAGCGGATCGTCTTTCGGGGGGTCGTCACCCCCGAGCGGATCGTCTTTCGGGGAGTCGTCACCTCCGAGAGGGTCGTCTTTCGGGGGGTCGTCACCTCCAAGGTCATCGCCTCCCAGGTCATCTTTGGGTGGAGCACCACTACCTGCATCCATGGTATCGGCGTCTGCTTCCCAATCAACGCCTCCATCATCATCACCACCCAAATCAGCGCTTCCCCCTCCTGCGGGATTTGATTTCTTCTTTGAAAACATGGTACCTAGATCTTTCCCTTCTCCGTCTTTCGGAGAGTCATCGTCGACCCCAACTGGTTCATCATCGTCGCCTTCGATGTCGTCCAGAGCACCGGCACTGTTCTTACCATCTGGTCCGTCTAGATCATCTAACCCACTTCCACTTTTCTTGGCTCCACTGCCTCCTAAATCTTCCATTCCGCTGCCAGAGTTCTTAGGAGCTGCAGATCCGAAGTCATCTTCGCCACTCTTCTTAGGAGCTGCAGATCCGAAGTCATCTTCACCACTCTTCTTAGGAGCTGCAGATCCGAAGTCATCTTCACCACTCTTCTTAGGAGCTGCAGATCCGAAGTCATCTTCTCCACTCTTCTTAGGAGCTGCAGATCCGAAATCATCGACTCCGCTGCCAGACATTTTAGTTCCACTCCCCCTTAGATCATCCTCGTCTTCTTCTTCGATAACGCTGGACTTCAGTTTGGAACCACCTTTACTGCCCGATATCTTGGTTCCAGACATCTTGGATCCCGACATCCTGCTACCAGAAACTCTTGAACCGCCCTCGGAACCCCCATCCATAGCCTCGGGTGGGGGTGCTTTACTGGTGTCTACAAGGAATGGCTGTATTTCTGGACGTTTCATTCTCGGCATGTTGTCTTTGTCTTTCTTCTTACTTGGCCATCCAACTGGCTTTCCAGTGACTGCCATTGCGTCCCAGAACCATTCACTAATTAGTCCGGCATCGTCGTCGTCTCCTGATTATTAAAGTCGTATCAATGTATCAACATCAACTTTTTAATTTCAAAAAATCTTAATTCCATAAGCCGATGTTTCAAATAATCTTTTGTCATCTGATTATATAACCTTCCAGCATCTCCCCAGATTAAATTGGTACCTCAAAGTAATGTTTCTAATGACACTGATATGGAACTTTTAGATATGGCTGAGGTGGACAAAAGAAGGTTTGAATAAATCCCTTATGCTACTTAATTTTATTTTGTTTCCTACCTTCCTCGGAGCTGTTTCCAGAGTCGGATCCATCAAACGTGTCATAGTCGTCATCGAATGTTGATTTGACGTTCTTATCCTACAAAAAATTGTCTGGAAATCTTCGGTTTTTTGTTGGGAAAAAAACAAGTTAACAAAAAAATCTTGATTTTTAAAAATCATCCACAGCAAAATTTTGGAGAAGTTTACTAAGAATGGTGTACTAACTTGATAATTCATGAAGCACTAATGAAGTCGCAGTTGAGATAAAGTTAGGGTAGTAAATAAATATAGGTGAACAGTCACATGAACCCCCTGCAGTAAAAGTTCATCAAGGCAGACTGTTTGGAGGTACTGAGGCTCGAATTCGTCACAGTCTTCATAAATTTCACAATTCAATGAACAACAAAGTATCCGTTTTGCATAAAATAACGCACGTGCTCTACAAAAAAATCTTAAATTAACTTATTCGACATGCTGATTTAATTAAACTCATTGAAAAACCTTCTAAGCAAAACTGCCGTCTTTGTATTAAATTTTTTTCCAGGCATAAGCTTATCTAAAATTGTGGAGAGGGAGAGGGTTAAATTTTAGGTCAAACAAAGCTAACTATACAAGCTCGAAATTCATTGCCAAAAATCTATTCTTATATAGGATATTATGATACCCTCTTTGAATCCTTAATCACCTTCCAATCAGTATTAAAGTTTTAAATAACGTTACTTTTATAACTGATTGCAACTTTTATAACGTTAGAGGTCCGCGAATGGACCTCAAATTATATGGAAAACGTTCTAAATAAGTTGAATTCCGTTCGTTTTTGTTTTCACGAAAATCCATTTCGGTATGAATCCGCGAATGTACACTAAAACTCTGAAGAAAAGATCGAGTCAAGCTCCAAAAGCGATAAGAAGCCCTAATAGTGTAAGTTTTTCACAAAAAGTTTCTTGCGGAGAAAAAGTCTTCCTTTTTTCTTGGTGGTGTCTAAAGACTTTTTTGGAAAGTTCTATAGACAGAAAGGTTGGAGCAACTTTTATGCCTATTTTCTACTTGCCATCAGATTTTATTTTCAGTATAAAATAACTATATTTAGGTTGTCCTAATGTAAGGAAATTTTGTCTCTCCATCTCTCCATCTCTCCCTGCGAAATTTTTGTAGTAAGTTTTTTTGGGAACATTGTGCGGTTGTTATAACATATCAAGTTAATCACAGAAAGAAAGGAGATCTTCGCAACACCTGCGATACAAAAAAAAACTTGCGTTAGAAGATAGTGAATAGAACAAGACAAGGAATTCGAAATTGTTTTTGAGAAATGCTGAAAAATTATTTGCAAAGATAATTTAAAAAGTTACACCTACGAACACTTAATGTTTATTTTTGATGATGTTCATAAGCAGCAGTAAAAAGCATTGAAACAAATTTACCGAGCGGCACCCGTGGCGACAAAATCTGATTCGATCCCTGTTGAGCCGAAAAAAATCTGCCATCAATTTTTTTTGGGGGGGGGGGCACAAAATTTTGAAATTGTTAAGACCAATCCGTACAGAAACACGTAAAAACATACAAATACAATTTGTCCTAAAACTACGCTATATAAATTGACTAAGCCAATGTAACACAAGACAAAAAAAAAGAGAAAAAAGTATAGATTAAATTATTCAAAATCAGACTTTCAAGCTCACTAATTATAGAATTTTTATTTTTAGTAAGAACTGCTTAGACCAAAATAAAAATCATGCTTTTATCAAAAAAACTGAAAAAACGGTCAATTTAAATTGTTGTTTTTTAAATAAAGCTGAAAATAAAATGTGCCGACAAGAACTAGAACCAAAACCACGAATCTAGGTTAAAAAAAAGACGAAAAGTTCACAAAATTTTTTCGAAAGATTAATCACTGCCTGAAACGAAATCCATCTATTTACTGCCTAAATGATAGTAGTGTAATTTAAACTTTCAAGAGTTGAGTATATCAGCAGTCTGCGAGTGAAGTTTATCATTCATACCAAAATGAATATTCTGAGTTAATAACGGGAAAAAAATCTGGTATCGATTGCTACACCCTTGCTGACAGCAAGGGTAAAGGTTACCCTAGTACTGAATCATCGGTCTCTCATTCTGCTGGCATTTTTTTTCTTGTTAGTCTTAATATTTTTGGACTATTTTCCCAAGTTGAATTGAAACAAGCTGATTGATCCGGCATTCAACGAATAAACTGAATAAACGGTCAATTTAAATTGTTGTTTTTTAAATAAAGCTGAAAATAAAATGTGCCGACAAGAACTAGAACCAAAACCACGAATCTAGGTTAAAAAAAAGACGAAGAATTCACAAAATTTTTTCGAAAGATTAATCACTGCCTGAAACGAAATCCATCTATTTACTGCCTAAATGATAGTAGTGTAATTTAAACTTTCAAGAGTTGAGTATATCAGCAGTCTGCGAGTGAAGTTTATCATTCATACCAAAATGAATATTCTGAGTTAATAACGGGAAAAAAATCTGGTATCGATTGCTACACCCTTGCTGACAGCAAGGGTAAAGGTTACCCTAGTACTGAATCATCGGTCTCTCATTCTGCTGGCATTTTTTTTCTTGTTAGTCTTAATATTTTTGGACTATTTTCCCAAGTTGAATTGAAACAAGCTGATTGATCCGGCATTCAACGAATAAACTGAATAAACGGTCAATTTAAATTGTTGTTTTTTAAATAAAGCTGAAAATAAAATGTGCCGACAAGAACTAGAACCAAAACCACGAATCTAGGTTAAAAAAAAGACGAAGAGTTCACAAAATTTTTTCGAAAGATTAATCACTGCCTGAAACGAAATCCATCTATTTACTGCCTAAATGATAGTAGTGTAATTTAAACTTTCAAGAGTTGAGTATATCAGCAGTCTGCGAGTGAAGTTTATCATTCATACCAAAATGAATATTTTGAGTTAATAACGGGAAAAAAATCTGGTATCGATTGCTACACCCTTGCTGACAGCAAGGGTAAAGGTTACCCTAGTACTGAATCATCGGTCTCTCATTCTGCTGGCATTTTTTTCTTGTTAGTCTTAATATTTTTGGACTATTTTCCCAAGTTGAATTGAAACAAGCTGATTGATCCGGCATTCAACGAAAACGGAAAATTTATGCTTGGTGTATTCTTTTATTCAGTCATTTTTGCCGATCAAAAAACTGTTTTCAAAAAAAAAGTTTTATAATCGTTTGAAGATTTCTTGTTTCTGAATTCTGAGTTCAAATGTAAAGAGATATTTTACCTCCAATTATTTTTTGTGAAGTTCTAGGATATTGAAAATTGCCAATTCAGCCATAATCTGGACTAGATTATGCGTGCTTTGAAGTATTTTTTCATAAAGCTGAGAGCGTAATGCGAATCATTTATGCGTGGCAAATTATCCCGAACAACAAAATCGTTCCAAACTGAATTGATGCTAACTAATCATATTAAACTCGTAAGACTCAAATTTGATCTTTGATTGTGTCCACAGTTCATAGTTTTTCAGTATTTCCTTTTCATAAAAACTATTCGATATCTCGATTAAGGTGCATACGGAAAATCAGGGCTTGCCTGATATCCGAGCAACCTTGTTGATCCAAGAAATGCGTTTCAATAATATAAAAATCACTCAGACTTTGTTAGATGGTGTCATTAATTTGATTAGAGGAATTTGGTACAACTTAAAGTCTGAGGAATAGTTTTAATTGGGCTAACGAGTGAAAAAATATGTCCATTAAAGTTGTATAGGATTTTATGTGTCATTTTTTAAATCGAAATGTCATTTTATTGTCTTCACTAACTTTTCAACGGCCCGCGTTTGATTTAGCAGACGCGCAAAACAGAGAAAGAGAGGAGAAATTCATTACCATTTGCTCATATTTTTTGAGAAGTAAAAAATTATGAACTAAAAACATAGGTCTAATTTTGGTTTTAAAAGGCAATTCTTCTATTTCGTATCTTCTTTTTGTTCTATTTCGCATGAGATGCGTAATTTCTTTTTTCTATTTCGTATATTTTTTTTCGTAGGAGATATGCGTAATTTCTTTTTTCTATCTTGTATCTTTTTTTCTATTTCGTAGGGATGTTACGCGTTTTCATCAAAGAAATATGAAACTTTAATGGACATATTTTTTCACTCGTTAGCCCAATTATAACTATTCCTCAGACTTTAAGTTGTACCAAAATCCTCTAATCAAATTAATGACACCATCTAACAAAGATATTTCCCACAAGCAACAAAAACTAGCTGTGATAATTTTCCATTTGAGGGGCCAATTTGGTTTGAATTACTAGGTGAATAATTATCAGGCATCCTTAGCTGTGTACCTATAAAAATTAACAGGGCAAGTCAAATATGAACTCACTTTAAGCATGAAAATTGAATAAATATCTTGAATTGTTTTTGGAGTGACTTGTTTGCAAATATTTATTCAGCCTTTTTTGTCTGCAGTTTAACTCGGTAAAAAAAATCAAATTGACCCTGAAAATTGGTCTTTAGTTATGAAAAGTAAGCTTTTTGAAAAATCTTTTGTGAAATGCCTAATTTTCTGGCTAGTTCGTTTATATTCTTCCATCCTAACTCAAGTCTTCTTCCTCCTAATGACTTTTATAAAATCAGACGCGTTGATATCTGCTTCAGCTTTAAATTTGTTTTTGACAACTTATAAATCATTTTGACTTTGAAATAATCGGGACCAAATGAACATTCTCTCCGTTAAAAAGATTAGAGGGAGGATGTTAATTTGGTTCAAAGTTGGAACAGTCAGCCAATCAGAATCGATTTACAAACAACGAAATGCAAAATCAGTCCAAATTTACTCGTGGGTGGGCCATTTTTTCTTAGTCTATCAGGAAAAGACTTCAACTCAGAACTCAAACTATAAGAAAACTTCAGGGTTGCTGATCTAAAGGACGAATGTTCCAAGAGCATAACAAACAAGTTTCAAATAGTGAATTGATTCTCAACTGTAACTCAAACAAGAATGTTTCATACAAGTCGCCTGCGCTTCAAGAGTAGTATTTTATCGTGTCCCGGATCCTTAGAGGCTCATTTCTAAGGTGGTCCTCACGAAAAACCAAATCCTAAAAGGCGGGTCCTGAATTTTTTGACGGACCCTCTTCGTAGCTTTTTGCAAGCGAAAGAAATTTCCCACCCGCCTAGCAGAAGACACCACTTCTTTAAATCTGCCTAAGCTTAGGTCAACAACAAGAGACATTATTGGTTCTAATTCAAATGTTTGGGTTCCTGTTTTTTTGTTTTGGTTATTTATTTAAATGAAATTAACTAATTTATTTGTTTCGGTTAATTAAACTTTCGATCTAGTTGAAATGGTTCGGTAAATTTTGAATTGAATTTTATGGTATAAAATAAAAGTTTGCCGAAATTTTCGGCAGCATAGCTTAATGGATGGCAGTAGTATTTTTTCCTCAACTTGTGCTATAATTTATTGTGAATAGGCAGTGTTTTGAAAACACTCTCCAAGGGTGAGGCCGTTTCCGGGTAAAGTAATAGCTTATGACAATTTTGTTAATATTTGAAAAGAAGCGAAATGAAAAAAAAAAAAAAACTTGGTGTACTGAAGACATAGAAAAGAAGCATTTACAAATAAGAGTGTTTTCAACCACAACAAAAATCAAACTCGGCAAGGAACGCTTCATAGTGTTTCTGGAGAGACGAAAAGAAGTTTCGAAAAAAAGAATACGGAAGTAAGGTTTCAAGAAACATTGTTATCTGAGAGCCTCAACAAATCATCTGGTCCATATTTTCACAACAAAGGCATTTCAGGTGTTTTTTAAAATAATTTACCATTGGTGTCTAGACGAATCTAAAAGAAATCTGCAGGATAAATTTTTTTCTCCTAGCTTAAAAATTAGCAGGTTGGAGAGGTGATGAAAAAAAAGAGTGAAATTGCGAAAAGCTCGACTACTCCAATTGATTTAGGAGTAACTCACAAAACTTATTTGTCCTGAGACAAACTTTTGCCGACAAATCGAACAAACGAAACTATTTTCTAGCCGGATTTTCTCTTTTTTTATAGTTCTAACAACTGGAATTACAACATTTGACTTACATTGAGACTTTATGGTGGCGTAATTGGTACTAATAGTTCTTCTTTAAGCAAACACGTGATTGACTTCAAGATTTTACAATTGCACGCTATTTTGCCCGACGCGGCCAGATTAAAACAAAAAGTTTATCAAACGGTCCAAGGCACTGCTTTTTGTTGCCCTAGAACTATAAAAACAGCTAAGCGGGGCATTTAACTTAATTTTTTTCTGTGTTTCCTTAAGTCGAAGCAACCAAAAGTCTGTTAAGTAATATCGTGAGCTGCACAATACTATGCAGTCACCTTTTGAACAGTGGCAGTCTAAGTCTCTGTCCTTTCACGTTATCTTCTGTCATCATACCATCGATCTCGATTAACTTATGTATGCATGTTGTTTTGTCTGCCTCTATGTATGCAATTATGTATGAACGTTTGTATGTAACTGTATAAAACGCATGTTTTGAGTATTGAAGTAAGACTGGAAAAAAAGAAATAAAAAATAGAAAATGAAAACTAAGTAAAGTAAAGTCAGTTAAGTAGTTAAGCAAATAAGAGCAAGCAAAGAATAAGTGAGTAAGTCAATATGTAGGTACGCAAGTAATTGGGTAAGTAAATGAGCAAACATGCGAGCAAGCAACTTTTAAATAAGCTACTTAGCGCCTCAAGTTTACGCTATCTAAACCATGAAAAAGTTGTCCAGGCCATGAAGTCTAAATTACTGATGGAAAGCTGATGATGCCAATCAAAACTCCAATTAAACACCCGATAGAGCAGATATAAAAATTTTCAAGAACGAGAACGATGGTATGATGACAAAATTTAGCGTTAAAAAGAAAGAGCCTGAGCCTGCCAGTGTTTAAAAAAATTGATAATTTGGATATTCGTCCCAATTAGCTGTTGCTCTAGTTTGGCAAAATGTAACCATACGTTGGACATTCTTGATGAATTTTAGATGTTAATTTGGCCTCTTTGTGTTGATAGTGCGCAGTCATAAATTATTGGTTGCGTTCAAGTTTTGTTCAAGAATAATTTTGATGCCATTAAAGCCATTCTACAATCACAACTTATAGTTATTATGGTTATTAGTCGTAATCACACTTATTAGAAATAACAAAGAAAGATTATGCATTTAGAAGATGGTTTCGTTGGTTAGAATTATCTTTTGAGTTTGCTGTAAGGACGTTTAATTTTCGTGAATTACTTCTAAATCAATTGAGTACTTTGGTTTTTTGCAGTTCCACTGTTTTTCCAACCTGTTAGTTTTCAATTCAGTAGAAATAAAGTTTACCCAGCAGATACCTTTTAAACTTGTCCAGATTCCGGTGATGAAAAATCAAAAAAACATCGGAAAATCTTTGTTTGTGCAGAAAAGCACCAAGTGATTTATTGAAGCGCGCACACCAATGAATATTCATTCAAAATTAACACGTGCTCTCGCTTTGAAATTTTCTGTCTCCGCTCAAAAAACGCGTCGTAGTAATAACTAACGGATTTGAACTCCGTGTTTTTTTGGTTGAAACTAACCTAAACTGTAAAGGCTTCTTGTCTATATTTTCAGTACATCAATTTCCCTTCTAATTCATTTTTTTAATTTCAAACTTAACAGAATTGTCATTAGCTATTTTTTTGGCTGAAAACAGCCGCCACCCCTGGAAACTGTTTTTATTTTTCTGCATCTTCACGATAAAATACAGCTCAAATTGACAAATTAGCTTTGTGCTACCAACAGGTAAACTACGCCGCCAAAATAGCCGACATTTTTTTTTATTATAAACCATAAAATTCAATTCCAAATTCATCAAAAAAGTTCAAACAGGTCGGAAAATGATTCTCAAGAAACAGGTATAACATTTGACTTGATTTATAAAATTTTAAAAAGCAAACAAGTAAGACCTTAAAAATAGTAACTTGAAGATATTGTGTAACGTGTCACATGTTGTTAAGCTAAGCTTAGTTAGATTTTAAGTAGAGGGTCTTCTGCTATAAGGGTGGAAAATTTTTTCGCATACAAAATCCTACGATGAGGGTCCGTCAAAAAAATCAGGACCCGCTCTTTAGGATTTAGTTTTTTTGAGAGGACCACCTTCAGAATGACCTCCCCTAGGATCCGAATCACGATGAAACAATATTCTTGAAGCGCAGGCAAAATGTATGAAATAGTTTTGTTTAACTTACAAATGACAATCAATTGACTATTTGAAACTTGTTTGTTCTGTTCTTGGACCATTCGTCCTTTAGACCAGCAACCCTGGAGTTTTGTCATAGTTTGAGTTTTGAGTTAAAGTCTTTCCCTGATAGACTAAGAAAAAACTGCCCACCCACGAGTAAATTTGGACCGATTTTGCTTTTCGTTGTTTCTAAATCGATTCTGACTGGCTGACTATTCCAACTTTGAACCAAATTAACATCCACCCTCTTATCTTTTTCCAAGAAGAGAATTCTAACTTGGTCCCGACTATTCCAAAATCGAAAAAATGTATAAGCTGTCTAAATTAAGCTCAAAAAAGTTTCATCGAAACTGCAGCAGCCAGGAGTAATCTTAATATTAAAAATCCTAAGAATATTATTAGTCTTATCCTAAGAAACGGTGTTGAAACGTGAAACAGGCAAACAAATTTCAAATTACAGTTTCATTATCAATTTTCTAGGCGTCATTTTGTAGGATCTCAAATTGGAACAAAATGTAAAAAACAATCCTTTTAGCAATACTCATAGAGTCTTTTCAGGCCAATCATCATCATGAAATGTCTTTTGAAAAAAATTTGTTGTCAATAATTTTGTTTCACTTTTTTTATGCTTGAAAAATTGATTCAAATCAAAATAAAATGATTTTTTTGTTCCGACTTCAAAAGAAAGTGATGATTATTTATGCTAGGTGGTGTGGTTTTTTGTATTCAGTCAATTTTCGACTTTTTAAGTATTTTTATCTGAAGTTTTCACCATCTGAGAGATTTTTTTGTCATAATGTTTTTACCAGGCGATAGTTTTTCATTTGTTAAAGTGGTTCGAAAATTGCAAATTTTGCCAAATCGGGATAATTAACACGCGATATAATGCATTCTTATAACACGCGTAAGCGACTAAGTAATGGGTTTCAAATTAAATGATTCCAGCATTTTGTTCTTTTAAGCAATAACCGGCCCTGTACACACCCATTTTATCTTACATTGCATGAGGTGGGATGAATTGAAGAAAAAAAATAGATAAAAAAATTTGTTTCGATTATTTTTTCAATTATTCAACTAAATTTAAATAAAATTATTTTTAAGGTGATTTTGAAATTTTGGGTTCTCTCTATGATACACGAGCAGTTTTGTTGTTTCTAAAAATTTCACAGATTTTAATCAAAACAACTTGCCGCAAGTCAAAATAAGTCAGAATAAGAATCGATTGAAAATTTTTTCTTAATTTCTGTTTTGCATCAAACTAAATCGACTTCAAACCATATTCCATAATTTTCGAAATTATTTTCTATCTTTTCTCTATAAATTGACTGCAATTTTTGTTAGGTTTTACGTTGGGAAAAACTTGGGCTGACGGCCCTACACTGAAAATTCAAGTCATACATTTCTATATACGAACCCTATGAAAACTTACCTGGCCCACAATTCTTATAACTGTGAATTGTATGACTAAAACTTTGTGGGAAAGACAGAACTTTTGCCTCAAATATTTTGGTCTCAAAATTAGGAAGTTCATACAAAAAAGGGTTCCAAAAATGCTCATGCAAGTTTATTTATTCATTCAGCGGAATAATTTGTTTTGATTTCGATTGACACCAATCTTTTCAGCTAGTTGCAAAATATATACAAACAAAAACAGAATGGAAGTGAAGAAAAGATTCAAGGTTTGAAAGTTATGGAGGAATGAAGGAATGCAGAATGCAGACCCCACCCCCCCCCCCCCCCACCCCCCCCCTCAATTCTGATCGCCAAATTTTTTGTGTATAACTTTACGGCATAGCATCCATTTTTCCCTGACCACCTCAAAAAATGCACTTTTCGGTGAAAATATTTTCAAAAAAAGTGCCCAAAAACGCCTTTTTTGCCTGTTTTTTGAAAAATTTGGCTGGTTTTTGATAAACTGGTAGATCTATAAGAAAAAACAAGTCATAATCCCCCCTAGAAAAATTTCTGCGCACGCTACTGAAGGAATGCAAATAATACAACCCCCATTTGAGGCAGAATGCTAGTCATACAGTTCTCATAATGAGAGAAAGCTAGTCAAAGTTTTTAAGCCATATATTAAGACCATGGTTTGTTGTCCTTTTTATTCCGACAATTAAGGTCAAATTTAAACAACTGGGTATAAAATGCTAATTTTGTAGCTTAGATTTTCTAATTCGTTTTTTAAATGTAAAACAATAAGATTTAATGGTTTAAAACCTGCTTCATTCTGAATGTTTTTCTCGAAATGTTTTTCTCGACATACTTATTTGAATGATCTCCGAAAAGTTCGAAATTTAAATAAGACAATTTTCGAACATAAATCTTTAAAATTCAGAAATTATTTTTTTTCTTGAAGTTTAAAACTTTAGTTATTTAGTGAAGAGGTGCTTGCTTGGAGTTCGATGCGCTTTTTGGGGTAAGCAAGCAGTTGAATCCATCCTCAT